AGCATTATTTTTACCTCTGTCTCTCTCTGTCTCTCTCTCTCTGTCTCTCTCTGTCTCTCTGTCTCTGTCTCTCTCTCTCTCTGTCTCTCTCTGTCTCTCGTTCTCTCGCTCTCTCTCTCTCTCGCTCTCTCACACACACACACACACACACACACACACACACACACACACACACACACACACACATACACCTTCTGATGCCTGGCATATGAAGCCAGTGATTATATCCAGGAGCGGTGTGGAAAAAGAAAAGGTTGAAATAAGCCAATGTAGAGAAGGGAACACTTGGAAAACTTTCTGAATCGGTACTAGAGGAGAGAGATATTGGAGAAGGTGGGATTCCCAGACCGTAGGATCCGCTGCCTGGTACAGCAGAGTTCTCAACCCCCACCCCTATCCCCAGATGCCAACAGGGCTCCAGAGGTGATATAGAACGAGAGTGTGGGGTGCTAAGAACTGTGGCTCATGCATAAAAATGCTTGACGCAACTCCCAGGTTTGACACAGAAACACAGATCCCAATGGGCTTGGACTTGTCACCAGTGGAACTGAAGAGAAGGAACCCCAACATTCTGACGTACATTAGACCCTGAGACCCTGGTGGAGGGGATCTGAGAGAGAGGCAGGGGTCTTGGAAGATGGAATGTGCTTTATTAAACAGAGTGAAATGCAAAGGTTCTCTGTACCTACATAAGGCCAGTGTGGTTTTGACATGATTTGGCAAGATGAACCAGAGGAGGTGGCCCCCATAAAAAAGGAGGGTGGAATGACGACACAGTCACTTGTATTTCATTCTAAGATGCATTTTTGTAATGTATGCACAATGCCCAAATCCATTCGTTCATTATGGGATGCAAAATGGGGATATTTTCATTCTAGCATTCCTTCTTCATTCATTAGCTATAAAATTTCTGTGAAAGAAACTTCCCCTTATCAATGACTTAGTCACCTGAGGGACTATTCGTATAGTAAAGGCAGAATAAACGTTTTATTTTACTCCCCTTTACTTACCAACTATAAAAATAACAAGTCAGTGTGCCAGCATCATCCAACTTTACTGTGTTAGTATCATTAGAAGTTCGTGGGCATAAGCATATTTGAGGTGTTTAAATCCATTGCAATTATTATAACTTTTTCTATCTTTGGCCAGTACAAACCTGTTCAAATTCGTCTCTCACCAAGAGCATGTCAATGTGTCAAAAATAGTACATTTAATTTTGATTTCAGTATTTCAAAAATTTAGGCAAAAACACCAGCTAATTCTTGAAAGGATAATGATTAATAGCACACTGAATGGAGAAAGAGTTTACATATGGAGAAAGGGTAGTATAATGAGAAAATTATTATTTTTGCAGCCCTCACTGTGATAATAGTGATTATTAAGGCAAGGATCATATATGGATGCTAAAACCATTGGGTGATTGGTGATTGGGCTACAGGGCATCTGAAAGGTGCCCGAGTGTCACCCCACAAACTCTACTCTCAGGTCCCACACCCCTCCTATCACAGCCCTGACTCTGGTGTCAGTCTTACTGGGGCTGTGAGGTCGATCACCTCGTTTTCTCCATTACTCTCACCCTCAGGATCCTGACCTGCCCTCCAGCCACAGATTATGAAGGTCCCTAAGTTCTGCCATGGACGCCATCTAACTCCCATATCAATTGGATTTCCTGAGCCTGTCATTTTCTTCTTCCATGGCTCCACTGGCATTTAGCAACAACTAACGCACTTCACAGTTTTATAATGACCATTTCCATCCTATCACTCAAATGATAGAGATATTGCATTAGTCTGTGCAACCCCTTCCACTTAAACACAACATGCCCATTACCTGTGAGGTCGTATTAGGTAAAAGTCATTACTTGGAGTACCCAGCACTCTAGAGCCATCGCCACTCTACTCAGTAACACCAGCAGTGGGTTCCTTACGTCGATTTGTCTGATGAGCCATCCTATTCCAGTATCTCATGGTGAAGACCTGCTCTGCTTCTTAAGACCTCTTGTCAGGAACAGCTTCTTAGTTTGGGTTTCTTAAGAATTGAATCCTGAATCAAGTGCAAGTAGTTCATTTGAGGGGAGAGCCTAGGGAAACATGGAGAGGGAAGGGAAGGAGGGCGGAAAACAAGTTACCACTTCGGCCAACTGGAGTTTACTCCCACTGGGGACCCCTGGCAAATATTCTAGAACGCACACTTCAGCGACATCCCTCTGGAAGGGTGAGAGAACTGGGGTGTTTATTCACCAACTCTCATCCATTATTGGTCAAGAGCTGCTCCTGGGAGGAGTTCGTTTCTTACACTTTTGTCCTACCCTGCACACAGGCACAGATGGAGCTGGTGGCCAGAGGTACCCAGGTGACAGCATCTAAAAGTCAAACGGAAATACAAATGTTGAAGAGATATGGACGGGTCTCTGACAGCGTCTCCTACAATATCCAGAGTCTGAATAAAAGCACTAGCAATGGAGACCAAGAGGAATATGTTAATTTGAAAGATGCTGGAGGGAGGCAGAGAGTCCTGATGTGTAGACCAAGGGTACTAGTCAGGTAGAACTGACCAGAGAAGAGCCATAGCTGTGTGCGGGTGCAGAACACGGGATTGTTATAAGGACGGATCTTACAGCATGGAGTGGGCCGGTGGAGCAGTCTGGGCAGGCTACTGCCTCTCTTCTGGTATTGAGCCTGCACTCACTCTAGGCCATTCAGATTCGTAGCCAGGTATGGACCAGAACACGGACAACTGAAACCCCGTCTCTCCCACTTTAACCCTGTGCTGGGGTGATAATGGAAGAAGCTGGCACAGAAACGATGGCTGCAGCATTACATGCACCTTCCAGATCTTACATAATGGTTCTCTTGTGCCCCACCCTCGCCAAACCATGCAGGGAAGAGAATTCTGAAAACATAGCATGGCTGAACTCAGTAGAAACATGACAATGCCACCACCACAAAGTGACTGAAGGGAAGAAAGCTATTCTAGAGAAATCTGGTAATAAGTTTATTTCACTTTATGTTTTGCAAGGTTGTGAGGCATATAAGGGAGTCAAATGGGAAAATAACAATCTGAAGAATGTGAACACATAGGTGGTGGCAGCAGCTGTAGGCTGGGAAGAAGGTGAAGCAGAGGAGCATTCGTCGAAATCGGCACTGATTCGGGATACCAGGCTGGTTGGGACAAGGAGGAAGAAGCAGCTGAGAAAATACACAAGTCCAGGTGCAGCGGATTCTGCCACTGAGTCTCGCGTCGGTGAATTTCACATTCCCCAGAGCAGAAGGCTGCTATGAGCTGAGCGCGTGCAGACGTCCCAGGGCAAGCCTACAGCGTCCCCTGCTGGCCACAAACCAAACTTCCGTCTCTCCCTGAGGGGTTTCTTCTGCTACCCAAGACCCGGCTTCCGAGTCATGTCTGCTCTCTGCCAACGCTGCTGTAAGAGATGGGGTGACCTGGATGAATTTCTTTCTTGGCTCCTGCATCTTGTTACATAACTCTCCCTAACTCTAGGTTTAATAATGCACTTCTTTTTGTTTCTGTTTATTTTGCTTTGCTTTCATCTATCCAATATATCCGAAGTATATCTTTGCATACAGAGGAGGTAGGTATTGCATTTTTTTTTAATGTGGCAAGTTCTGGTAAGGCTTAATAACAAAATAATTACATACATGTTTGTGATCACTATATATCGTGCTTGGAATTTCACTCTTTCAGGGAATAATGAGTCTTTTCTAATCTTATTTGTTTAGAAAACAAACAATTACATTATTAATGTTCAATCTGATATGCATCTCTTATTGACTGAGATAAATAAAACACTTTTAAGTTATTTTTGCTATTAAGAAGATTAGAATGTATCGACTTCTTACAGCTTAATTAAAGGGCAAAATATTACCACATGTTCTGGGAAAATCAGCCATGTATCTATCATCCAAGAAGTTGTACATCCAGACAAATATAGACATCCAAAAATTAACAGAATCTTGAATTTTACTTTTTAATATTTGAAATATCTTCCCACTTTTTACATTGAAGTATGAAGATAGATACATATAGACAGAGATATAATTAACATATAACATCATATTAGGTTCAGGTATATGACATGATGACTTGATATATGTATATATTACAAAATGATCACCGTAATAAGTTTAGTTAACATCTATCACCACACATAATTACAATTTTTTTCTTGTGATGAGAACTTCAGAGATCTACTCTCTTAGCAATTCTCAAATATACAACACAATATTATTAACTACAGTCATCATACTGTCCAGCACCTCCCTAGGATTTATTTATCTTATAGCTGGAAGTTTGCACATTTTGACCACTTCACCCATTTCCCATACCTCCCCACCCCCTTATTATCTTCCCTAATGGACAAGAACTTTACTCCTTCATTCAACATTAAGCAAGTGTTGGCTGACAAGCATGTCCAGCCTTGGGGACACGGCAGTTGTCAGCATACAATTTCCCTTGGGGACCTTTTTTTAAAATAAATTTATTTATTTTTTTATGGTGACATTGGTTGACAAAATCCGATAAGTTTCAGCTGTACATTTTAATGGTATCTCTTGGGGATCTTACATTCTGGTGTGAGGAGACAAAAACTGAACAACTAAGCAACTAACATCATCCGTAAGGTGGTGATGAAGCTTTGCAGAGAAATATAACAGGGTCAGGACAGAGGGCAAGACGGGCCTTTCTGGAGATGACACTTAAGCTAAAGCCACAGCAGGGCGAATGTGAGCCAGGCGAACCAGGGGAGGAGTATCTAGTGTACGTGACCTCAGGCAGGAGCACACTCAGAACATAAATGTTCTCTGAGCATCAGTGAGTTCTGAGAGCGGGAAGAAGGAGGTGGTGGGCGGGCTGAGGGGCCTGAGAAGCCCCTGTAAGGACTTTGGCCTTTTCCCGGAGTGAGTGGAGAGGCCACCACAAGGCTGTTTTGTTTGTTTTTTGTTTGTTTATTTGTTTTTGTTTTTAGTGCTCAAATTTTTTCTTTTCTTTTTAAAAGTGAAATTGCACTCCAGTTGAAGGTACTACCTATATGAACTTGGTGGTGGTCAACCCTGGGGGAGAACCCCTGGGGTGCAGGAAAGGGAGAGAATCAGGAAGAGGAGTCCGCACAATCCAAGCACCGCCCCCCCCTTTGTATGCACATGTCAGGTTTGTGTGTGTTCTAGTGGTTTCTGAGATAAATATTTTTAAGAGCTTTGCTCACAATCTGTATCTTGGAGGAATCTTATTTGTACCGCATTGAACACAGATGTCTTTTCAAAGGCTGTCCCTTGGGTACTGTGCTTTTGGTCACAGCCAGCATCTGTCAAGGGCCATTAGGTGGGCAGTGGGCTGCAGTTTTGTCTTTGTAATGGTGTTGGCAGGGCCGGGAGAAGTGGCCAGGGCTGGTCAACTGGGGGCGTTTGCCCTTCTGACCCTTTGGGTCACTGGAGTCCTGCAGAGCTGCTCCCATGGATCCAATCAGCCTCCAGGGAAATCATCTTTGTCCTCCTCCTGAAAAAGCTCTTCCAGAGCTACTGGAAATGGGGGAAGATGAGGGATATGGGACTCAGACAGACTCCTTCAAGTGGGTGGAGGGTGCAGCAATGAGAAAGGGGACGGCAGACAGGAGAGGCCCTTTACCCAGGGAGCCTGTTCCTTAAGCTGGGAGGGGAAGGGGAGGGCTTGGCCATGGTGGAAGCATTCCCCCACCTTCTCCCCTTTGTTGAATTTATTAGTTCTAACATATTTTTTTGTGTGGAATCTTTAAGATTTTCTCTATATAAGAGCACGTCCTCTGTGAACAGAGATAATTTTACTTCTTCCTTTTCAATTCGGATAGCTTTTCTTTCTGTTATTTGCCAAATCGCTCTGTGAATTGCCATCTTTCGTTGTTGCTGGTCAGTTTTTAATTAATGTGATAACCCTAGTTTGACTCAGTTTAGGGTTTGGACCTTTAGTCAGTATTCCTGATATCCGCATGGTCTCAACCAGGTGAGGATGTCTTTCTCTCCTCTGCCCCTACTGCCATCACACCTAAATTACAAGGTATTTGGGGTAAAGGGAGTCAAACATGGTGACGGAAGGAAACTACACTTTTGGTGGTGAGTGCACAGTGCCGTATATGGAGATCTCCCCCTGGCTGGCTGTTGCCATCCCCCTTAGTGTCCTCAATCCCATGGACCACCCCTCACTCTACGCTTTGCTGCCCAGGGACACAGAGAGGAAGGTGATGCTGCCTGTGGCCCCTCTTCCTTGGTTAAACTGCCTGCCGCAAGGACAACATGAAGAAAATTGGTTTTGTTTCCTATTAGTCTGTTTAGACCAAGGCTTAAAAAATACCTGAAATGCAAATGACCTTCAATAAGTGGGATGAATGTCCCAAAAGAAATGTGATTTGGGGCCAGATGACAGTGTTGGAGGCATCGAAGGCAAGCAAGCTGAAAGAGGAGAAGGATTCATGTTCCTAATTCTGCTCTGATGGCTCTGAGCCTGGCTGACAGAGGGTGTCCACAGCGGGCAGGTATGTGGATCCCCCAAATCCAACACTTGTCAGAAGTACTCAGCTCAGCCCTGGGGCCAGGGCAGCGGGAACCAAAGGCAGTGCCATTATTATGGTAACGATGAAAGTTCTGGGGTCCTGGTTTCATCTAAGACCCAAAGGCAGAGCTCACCCTCCCTGAGGCAGGAGAAGTTCTGTGGTGCGTGGAGAGCCCAGGGAGAAGGCCCTGCTCCTAACTGTTTTTCTTGGAACCAGCCACTCGGATGCACAGGGAGCTCACTGCAAGAGACAGGAGCCAACAATAAGAGGTCCTGGGAGAGCCCTGCCCAGCAGCAGGCTCAGGAGGCGGAGCTCAAGGTGTTATCACCATGACCTGGACCCTCTCCTGCTCCCCCTCCTCACTCTCTGCACAGGTGCAGCCCTCCACGCCTTGCCTGCAGGCTCAGTCCCATGCACCCTGAGCTTGGCCTTGGCACAGCTTCAGGTTAAGACCCCTGGGAATGGTCCCTTCATCCTCAAGTCCCCTCTCTTCTCCTATGACCTGATGCAGAGGCCCTGGAAGAGATGGCCAGGATTAGCTGCACTGCAGATAACCTTAGGGATAGATATGCATCTTGGTACCAGCAGAAGCCAGGCCAGGCCCCTGTGCTGGTCATCTATAGGGATAACATCCAGTCCTTGGGGATCCCTGATTGATTCTCAGGCTCCAACTCGGGGAACACAGCCACCTTGACCATTAGCGGGGCCTGGGCTGAGGACGAGGCTGACTACAACTGTGCCATCTCCTATGGCACTTGGAGGAGCTATCAGTGACTCATAGTGGCACAGACAGATGGGGACATGAGGTACAAATCTGCCTGCCCTGGTCTGATGCTCATTGTCCCTCCTCCTGCCACCTCCATGCTGGACAGAAGGGTCTGGAGCTTTAGGTGAGGATTCTAGTTCTCACCAAGTTAATCATCCTCAGCTAGGCCTCAGCTTCTGCTCTGTCTCCTGGGGACAGCAACCCCTGGCCTCAAAGCTGCATGAGGACTAACCAGCATGGTGACTGTGATCGGCTTCAGTATCACAGAGCTCAGTCCAGATCCAAGATGCTCCGTCATGAAAATGACTCCATGGAATCAGAGACAGAAGACACACCTCTCTGGCCACCCCTGGGTGCTGAGCTCCTGACACCAGCAAGGGAGATAGTCATAGGAAGAGAAGTTCTAATTGTCACACAGATGTGAGGCCTCAGGGCCTGTATCAGGGGTGGATGACATCACGGTGAACTGACACCCTGTGGTTGCCTTTCCCTTAGGACAGGAGACCCAGGGACCTGCGCTAGAGAACCCTCAATATAGGCATGCCCCGCTCCAGCCCAGAGAGCTCTGATATAGAGGGGCCACTGGCATAGAGGAAAAGGAGAGGCTTAGCAGGTAGACAGACCTGGGATGTAATCTTGTTCATTCATTCATACGCCCCCTCAAAAGCCTTATGGAGCACCTGCTGTGTGCCAGGCTCAGTGCTAGACACCAGGGATGCAATAGTGAATGGGAGAAGCACTGTCCACTCTCCACGTTCCAAGTCTATTGAATGTATTCTTAACCATGGGATCCACGAATTATAGGTAACATTGTATATCGTTGGGAAAATGAGCCTTTTTCTGGGGAGAAATTCTGTGGCTGTTGCCACATTCTCAGAGATATCCACAGTCCATAAAATGCTTCCCGTCCTCGGATCTAGAGGGCTCTATACCTTCCCAACTCTGTGATCTCCGGCAAGTCACAGCACTTAAATAAGCCCCTAAATATCAGTGTCCCCATCTGTGAAATGGGGATCATGATGACCACTCCACGGAGTTATTATAAAGAGACATAGCTAGCTGTGTGAGTCAGGGCTCTCCAGAAAACAGAACCAAGAGAATATTTATGTGTATATATAAATAGAGAGAGAGACAGAAAGAGAGATTTATTTTAATGAATTGGGTTATGATTGTGGAGATGTGAGTCCAAAATCTACAGAGTAGGTGGCAGGACAGAGCCCCCAGGAAGAGTTGCAGTTTGAGTCCATCTGCTGGCAGAATGCCTTCTAGGTTAGGGGAGGTCTGTCTTTGTTCTATTCAGGCCTTCAGCTGATTGAATGAGGCCCACTCATCATAGGAAGAGCAATCTGCTTTATTCAAAGCGTTGATTTAATGTTAATCCACCTATTTAAATGTTAATATCATCCAAAAACACCCTCACAGAAACATCCAGATGATGTTTGATCAAATATCTGGGCCTTGTGGCCAGCCAAATTGACACTAAATTAACCATCTCAATGGCCTTAAATAAACAAAGGCAGTTATATCATCACCCTTGTGTTGAATGAAACCCCTAGGCTTTGGAGAATGTTTTGAACCTTCCAAAATAGCAGAAGCCATCCCAGAGGGAGGCTCTGGAGCCATACAGCAAGTCTAGTGACCCTGAGAACCTGGAATTTTTTAGAAAATTTGTACCTGAGACCTCAAAAAAGGGGTCCATCTACCTGTTTTGAAGATGGCCTGGGAGAGAGGAGTCCACCGTAGCTGCAGGCAGTCTCTTGAGCATGTGGGATGGAGAGTGGAGGGGAGACTGACCAGCAGTGGGCAGAAGTGAGGATCGCCTTTGACAAGGAGCAGGGCAGAAGCGACTGGACAGGGTCATGCCCCTCTGCTCCAAGAGAGAAGGGCTGGGGCAGGCAGGGCACAGGGCAGCCAGACAACTGCACCCAGACCTTTCTAACTCAGCCTGAATCCAGTTTTAGGCACATTTCAGTTTGGGAGTTGGGGGTAGCAGGCCTGAGCGGACCAGAACTTCAGCTGCACCAGCTGGGAAGGCCCAGCCCATGCCTCCAGGGTCCCTAGCATCCAGCCAGACATGGATTTCTGACAGTGACCACCATAGGAGGATGGGGTCTGTAGTGGCAGGTGTAGAGGCAAAGGTAGGGGGAGCAGCTGGGATCACTGAGTTTAGGGATAGCCCCTTCTCCCCAAGACCTTGGGCAGTCCCCAGAGGAACCACAGCTTCTAGGCCATGGGCAGTAGGTAAGAGTCATCCACACAGGGGTTCTGGGAGGGAACAGTTTCAGTTTGGATCCCCAGGACGGACCCTGCTCAAGCCCACAAAGTTTGAGTAGCCCAGGCCAGAGGCAGGAGTGGGCCAAGTACCTCAATGGGGAGAAGCCCCTCCAGGGGCTCCTTCATACCCTGCAATATCTGGAAGTCAGTCTGTCTGTAACAGCATCCCATGACCATAGTAAAATAGACACCAACAGGATGTCTGGGATGGCCCGACTCTACCAGGGCATGCGGTGTTCATGAAATTCACTCTGGGGGACCTTGGGGAGAGCCCCACAGAGATGGATGAGCCATTAGGATGACACTGCCCCAGGACACACTGGGCCTGGGTGGACTGGGACAAAGAGGATATAAATCAAGGGGCGGTTTCAAACATGAACTCCAAGTCAGCCAACTGTGAAGGGCGAGGGTGGATTTGACAATGAACTTTCTCTTGTATGCACAACTGGACCAGTGTGCCTCAGGACATTTGCCAAAATTTTTTCATCAAAACTTTCAGTGAGAAATACATCTCCTGTCATTATCCAGAGCATATCTACGTATCTAGATAAATGAAACAAAACCCCATGAACCATCACTGTCCTTCTGATTGCAAAGGATGCTCTCATTCTCCTGTCTGCCCTAGGCTACTCAACTATTGCAAAACGCTGGTTGCAACTGACTGAATCGACTTCACAGCCTCTATGAGTTGCAACCGAACATTCGAAAAGTGGCAGTTGAAATATTACCAGGGATTCATTTATTGCTTAATGGCTACTGATTTTTCCCAAGCCACGTCAAGTGGGCTAGCTGGTAGTAGTACTAGTAGTAATAATAATAATAATCTTCTATATGTTTTATGCATAGAGCACTTCCTAGTTTAAAAAGCACTTTAAAAAGGACAAATACTGAATGATTCTACTTACAAGAGGTTCCTAGAATAGTCAAATTTGTGGAGAGAGAAAATAGAATACAGGTTATCAGGAGCTGGGCAGAGGGAGGAATGGGGAGTTGCTTAATGGGGACAGAGTTTCAGTTTTGCAAGATGAAAACGTTCTGGAAATGAATGATGGTGATGGCTGCACAACAATGTCAATATGCTTAATACTACTGAATCGTACACTTAAAAATGGCTAAGATGGAGGAGAAGGAGGAAAGGAAGCCTGGAGACATGTAAGTGACCAGAGTTGTCACTCCTGGCAGCTTTAGTGCAGAGCGAGGCCCTTGCCACCCAATGAGGACACTCAGCCTCTCCTCATTGCCTACCGCTCACCCCTCACCACAGCACAGGGGCCCTGGGCTAACGGTGTAACTGGACATGGGGGAAGTAGCTGGTTCATGCTGAAAGGAGAGGAAAAAGGGGCCTCTCGGAAGCCACCGCTATACACCAGATACTGGGTTTGTGGTGGTGACCTCTGGATAAAATCTATGAGGGCATGAGAATGTGAGTGTGTGTTGAGAGAGAGAGAGAGAGAGAGAGAGAGAGAGAGAGGAGATCCGTTAAGCGCCGAACATATTGAATACCATTTTTTATTAATTATATTGTGATTCCCCAACTTGAACCCTGGCTTTTTGCTGAACCAACACCTGTTTCCTGCCCTGCCACCACCCCCCACCTCAGGGCTGGTCAAAAGAGAAGCCCCAGCCCCAGCCTCACCCCACTGGACTCATGATCCACTGGGTGCTCGGCTGCCGTCCATGGCCCATCCAGGCCCCAGGGAGATATCTGCTCACAGACTGAGCACCCTTGGGGAACTGGGGAAAGAGGGCAAGAGCAGGTGTGACTCACCCAGGGCCCCAGGGGTGGGGCCCGGCTGGCAGCTGTGATGGGAGGCAGTTGAGCCCTTGATCCTGACCGCAGCAGGGCGGTTGGCAGATGCTCCACTGGGAGAGATGCCCAGGAGTAATGGCCATGGCCCTGGAGAGGGTGGGGCCCTGGGACAGGGACCAAAAAAAAGCTCAGGCAGAGAACGAAGCCACTCTGGCCGAGGTGCACTGCGACAGCCATTGACAGTGAGAGGGACCAGAGGTACCTGTTCCCTGCCCCCGCCAAAGGGAGCTTACGCCAGCAGGTCAGCCAGAGGTGCCTTTGACCCTGAGGGCAGATGAGGCCCAGGACAGGCCAGGTGGGCTATAAGAACCAGAGGAGGCAGAGCTCTGGCTGCTGGCCCGTGGTGCTGCTGGGTCTGGCCGTGGGCACCCATGGTCTGTCGCCCCCCACAGCAGCACCTCAGGGCAGGGCCCCAGGCCCTGGAGCCCCAACAAGAAGCAGCCCTTGGAGCCTGTGGGACAGGTAAGGGACTGAGTGAGTCATGTGGGGGACATGAGGGTCCCTGCAGCTCAACCTAGGAGTGGGGAACAGAGTTTCAGTGGGGGGAGAGGGGAGAGAAGCGAGAGTCGTGGGCAGACACTGGCTTTGTTTAAAGAGTTGACATTTTGTCTAGTGTGGATTTGTTTGCATTGCTTTCTACTTTTTAATATTGTATTAAAATATTATTTATCTTAATTACTGAGTTTTGGGCACCTCTTAAATTTTGCAACCAAGACTAGTGCCTCACCCTAGTCCTCTGGGTAGGGCAGAAACGAAGTCAGGGCAGGATGTCCCATGGGTGGCGAGTGCTGCCCTCCCGGAGTGCTGGGTCCTCCTTCTCTAGCTGATGTGCCAAGTCCTTACTCTTCCCCTCCCTGGAGCATGAGGGCACAGGCTCTAGCTGATGCCTTGTGGTGGAGGTGACCTTCTCTGGTGTCCTTGGGTCACCAGACCCTGAGCTAAGGACCCTCAGCCAAGGCTGCCTTCTGGGACTGGCCCCCCAGGAGTCTGAGCCCACCCAGGATGCAGGCACCTCCATGGGAAAGGCCCTGGGCAAGGGTCTTCAGGGGCCATGGCCTGCCGCACCTTGCTGGGTGACCCCAGCTCTTCCTCTCTGTGTATATGGGAAGTCCCCAGACAAAGCGCTGAGCATCTGAGACCACTTGTGATCATCACTGACACAACCACACATTCTTTGCAGACATTAATCATTTTAGGGGCAGAACCTCCCTCTCAGTGACCCCAAAGGGCAAATCCCTCTGTTATCCCTAACTTACATATGGGAATAGAGTCCCAGAGAGATGAGGCAGTCTGCCCAAGGTCACACAGCTGGTGTAGACTCCAGTGCCCAAGCTCAATGGCCTCCAGCCTTCCCCATCTTCATCCTCTAAGTTGGGCTGACGAGTCCACCACTCTGGGCCTCAGTTTCCCCCTCTGCAAAGTGAGGGGTCCTAGTTGGATGAGGGCCTTGCAGCCTGGCACCTGCCCCAGGGGTGCGGGGGTCTCCATGGAGAAGGGCTAGAATGACCCTCTGCTACACCAGCGGTGCAGCATGGAGGTGGGTCAGCACCTGTGGGTGTTGGGTCAGCATTATGGCTGTCAGGTCAGGACTAGCATCTCGGCGTCCAGCAGGGATAGGACCCAGGGGTGCCTCAGCCTTTGGGGGCCTGGCCACCTCCCCACGCCACCCCAGGACACAGCCCTGCCTGCTGCAGCCCTGTGCCCATCATATCCATCAGGTCCCTGCTCCGGACTGGCCCCCAGGAAGCAGGCCCCAGGTGTTGGCCCGGTGGGTTTTGGTCTAATCCTCAGTCACCATGGTATGTCTTCAGCAGTGGGACCCAGCTCATTGTCCTAGGTAAGTGGTTCTCACCATCTTTTCCATCCTGTCCCACCCCTCTGCTGTCTCTGGAAAGTCACTCTTCCCTCTCTGGGGGCTGCTTCCCCTCTGCCCTCCTAATCTTAAGGACCAACCCCCACTTTTCTCCATAAGGTCTGGAGGAGGTGGGTTGGTCTCGGGGTTACCAGCAGGAAGAACCCAGCTGCAGGAGCAGCCAACTCCAGAGTCCAACAGTCTGGATGCAACCAGACCCCAGGGGCCTGGGCTGGGGGTTTGGCCCAGGAACGAGGCTCCTTCCAGGGTAGACGCCCACAAGGGGACCAGAGGCTGATCCTGACCAGGGGCATGGGAGCAAGCAGCCTTGGAGACAGTCCTGAGCCCCTGGGGTCCGGGCTGAGGGCTCAATGCCCATCCAATCAGGGAGGGCCACACAGGTAGCCAGGGACAGGGTTATGACCCCAACCTCCAGGGACACAGAGTCAGCCCCAGGGGAGGCCCAGGGAGAAGTGAGAGAGGGGTCCTGCTCATTCTAAGCTGAAACTCTCAGGGCCTCTGCTGGGCCATGGGGACATGGGGACACAGAGACACAGGCGAGGTGGGTTGAGGTGACCAGAAATCTGGCCCTTCCAGGATGGTGGTCAAAAAGGAGTAGGTCCTGTGGGGCAGGGACTCATCTGTCCCTAGAGCCCCATAACCCTTGGGGCCCAGGCGTCTCACCTGCCTTACCCAAAAGATTACATTAGAGCCAGGATATAACAAATGGGGAGCTCAGAGCCACACGGCTGCCCCGTGAAGTCGGGAGTCATCAGAGGTGCTGGGGTGGCCATGGAGCCTTTGTGCCCATCATCTGGGGGAGCAGCCCCAAGGACACAGCCTGTGGTCAGGGCAGGAGGAATAGAGAGACAGGCAGAGCCACGAGGAGCCCCTGGGCTTTTGGCTGGGAGGAACCAGTCCTCGCTAGAGAGCTGAGATCGGGCTGGGGCAGAGCTGGGGGCCCAGAGGGAAGAGGACACTCCAGGCTCCACTGTACTCCGGACTCAGGCTCAGGGCCTCCCCACATGCCATCAGGATTCTCCTGGCAGACCAGGTCAGGGGCCCCGGGCTCCCGAAGAATGAAGTGAGGTAGTGTCCTGATGCTGGGCTGGGGGCTTGGGACATCAGGGCCAGACTCCACATTCAGACTCTGGAGACTAGGAGGAGGGAGGACAGTCTGCCCTGGTTACATTTGGGGAAACTGAGGCTACTGATGGAGGAGCTTGACCAGGTCACCTGGGAGAAGTGACTGGGAAAGGCTTCTGGGGGGGGCGCGCGTCTGCAATCCAAGGACTGAGTAGAAAAGAGGCGACAGAGATGGAAGAAGGGTCTCTTTGGTGAACAAGCACAGACACTGTGGGAATGGTCACAGAGGCTGTAAATTAGTGGGGGCTGGCCCGACACCCTCACTCTCTCTCTGTCTCACGTTCTCTCCTCTGTCCACGCAGGTCAGCCCAAGTCCGCGCCTTTGATCATTCTGTTCCCGCCCTCCTCTGAGGAGCTCAGAACCAACAAAGCCACACTGGTGTGTCTCATCAGTGACTTCTACCCCAGCAACATGACGGTGGCCTGGAAAGCGAACGGCAGCCCCGTCACCCAGGGCGTGGAGACCACCAAGCCCTCGAAACAGAGCAACAACAAGTACGCGGCCAGCAGCTACCTGAGCCTGACGCCTGAAAGCTGGAAATCTAGGAGCAGCTACAGCTGCCAGGTCACGCACGAGGGGAGCACCGTGGAGAAGACTCTGAGCCCCTCACAGTGTTCTTAGGACCCACCGCCCCCACCACAGAGGGGCTGGAGCAGAAGGACACCCAGGAGGATCCCACTCCCAACCCCCTCGGCCTCATCCCTGCACCCCCACAGCTCTCAATAAAATGTGCTATTGTCAATCAGACATCATGCTCTCTGCTCATTCTTGATTTACGCATTTTTGTCTTCACTCCACCATTTCCAGTTTCACAGTCCTCCTGGCCCTGTGGGAAAGGAGTCAGTGGAAGGAGTCGCCCTGTTTCCCTGAGGGGAAGTTTCACTCTCATCCTGAATCGCCCAGAGAATGTTCCAGAATAGGGGATACAGGTAGCGCGACACAGGACAACCCAACTAGGCACCTTCCCTAATTTCGCTGTTCTGTGTGGACCCCGTCAACCCCCGAGGCCCACTCCTCTCGGTCCCCACGGTCTCCAGGAGAGAGCCTGGGCTCCCTTCCCTGGATTCCTCACGTCTTGCAATTCACATGCCTTCCACTACTCTTTAGGCTTTCCAGGAAATCCCCAGCCTCAAAGTCTGCAGCTTTCCTCCTTAGGATCCTCGCCTTGTCCTACTTTACTGGGACAGACCCTCTGCCCAGTCCTTCAGGCCCACAACGTCACAGAAGCCCTGGAAACAGAGCAACAACAAGTACGCGGCCAGCAGCTACCTGAGCCTGACGCCCGACAAGTGGAAATCCGGCAGCAGCTTCAGCTGCCAGGTCACGCACGAGGGGAGCACTGTGGAGAAGACAGTGGCCCCCTCACAGTGTTCTTAGGAACTTCAGCCCCCCACTACAAGGGGCTGGAGCAGAAAGACACCCAGGGGGATCCCCCTCCCAACCCCCAGTCGGCCTCCTCCCTCCTCCTCAAATAACTCTCAATAAAATGTCCTCATTGTCAATAGAAATCGTGCTCTCTGCTCATTTATTTCGTCTTATATTTAATTTGTGACCTCTCCAGGTTCTTGGGGTGGAGGGAGGGAATCCTTGGCTTGCAGCGAGAAAGTACTCCACAGGGAGAGGCTCACAGTCTCCCTGGGGTGCCTCCCAGGAAACTGGCCAGGACATGAGGAGTCTGGTCACCAGTCACAGTGCCCTTCCCTTCCCCCCGCCTTCCTCCTCCAGTGCACGGCTATGCCCACCATGAGCTTCCTTCCTGGTCATGGTGGCCATGGCTGGTGACCTCCAGATAAACTCTCCCTTCCTGACCTGGTTGGGACTCTTTCTGCTCCTGGCCCTCACCCCCTGGAATGCCCTGCTCCCTCCATGCCCAGTGCAGTTCCCGCCCACCTTTGCCCCCTCCCTGTCAGTCCCTTAGGCTGGACCCCCTATGGGATCCAGGTTACTCCAGCAGCATCAGTTTTATAGGCTCTTAAATCTGGGTCCCACCTCGATTCCTCACCCAATGGCAGATTCAGAGATGTAAGAGGAGTACAAAGAAGACAGGAAGATAACTGTCATACGAAAGGCCTGCCAGGAGGCTCGCATACTTGACCGATAGGTTCTGAACTTCCCAGGAACCAAAGCAAAGAGGGAAATTTCTCTGAGATTAAACTAAGGCCTTTGCTGGTGGAAAATTGATGTCTCAATGCTAAGGCCAGACATCTTGTATCACAATTAAAAGTGTCCCAGATCCCCTGAGCCGTTCCCCTACTCGCAGCTCAGCTCTGCCCCCTGAGAGCAAAGGGAGATGGGATACTCTCAGGTGTGTGGCATGGAAAGGCACCTGCCCTCTTCTTGGGTGGTGGGGTAGTTGTGATGCATTAATTGTTAGAGACTATCCCCATCAGCTCATGGGGTCTCTCTGAGGATGAGCTCTTCCCAGGCAGGTCGTCTTTGGGGGGTTGGATGGGGTGGGGGCAGTGGCGGTGGGTCAGGCTCGAGTCACCATGGGCGGGGGGCTATGGAGGGGCCATGCTGAGGTCCTGGGTGAGTCTCTCCCTTGGCTTCTGCATTAGTTTCCTGTGGTGGTGGCTCAAAACGACACATATTTATTCTCTCACAGGGCTGGAGGTCAGAAACCTGAAATGGGTCCTACAGGCTAAAAGCAAGGTGTTGGCAGGGCCATGCTCCCTGCCTTTTCAAAAAGCTTCTAGAGGTTCCCGCATTCTTCGGCCCGTCTCTCGTCTCTCCAATATCAAAGCCGCTTGTAGCATCTTCACATCTCTCTCCCTTCCTCTCTGACCTCTGCATCCATCGCCACATCACCTCCTGCCTCTCTCTTTTGGACCCTCCTGCCTCTCTCTTTTCCATATAAAGACCCTACATGGGGCCACCTGGATCATCTCCCCATCTCAAGGGCCTTAATTCCATCACGTCTGTAAGAGCCCTGTTGCCATGTAAAGGAACAGGTTCTGGGGATTAGGATGGGGACCCTCTTGGGGGCCATAGTCGACTGACACAGCTTCATGTTTCAGTTCCCTTGGGGTCTGGGAAACCTTCTCCCACATTCCTCTCTGTTGCCACATCCTGCCCAGTCACCGGTCTGGGCCACTCCTGGGGCCTTTCCAGCCCAGGCGCAGCTCTCCTTTCTCTCTGGTCCCTTGTGGCTCTTTCTTCTCCTTCTGGGGTCATGTAGGAAGGGATATTGATTTTAGCTTTAGCTTTGGGGCATTTCTCCTCACTAGTCCTGGCTAAATGCTCTCCTGGTCTTACCTCCTGATCACCAAACTGCCCTTGGGGGAAGATCCTACCACCTACTCCAGATCTCAGCTCCTGACCCCAAGTACCCACTGCCTTCAGCACCGCTCATCCTAGCCAAGTCCACTAATTAGTCTAGCTACCTCCCTGAAGAGCTCCAAGCCCACCTGGACTCTGGTCCCCCACCTTGGAACCCATGACCTAAGGGGACATAGTTGTTGGGGCTGACGAAAGATCAAGGGGCCTCCGGTCAGAGTGGCTGGCTTCTTCAAGCCCCTTCCCCTTCCTCAGGGTCAGGGTCAGGGCATGTGGGGGAGGAGCCAAGAGAGGGTTCCCTCTGCCTGGGGACCCCACCTCAGTCCAGATTCTAGGAAGGAAGATCATTGCAGGGCTCACCATGCCTCACCACCGAAAGGGTCAGTCCCTGATAATGTGCCTGCCCCACCCACTCCCCATGTCTTGAGAATAAAGTCAGTGCCAAACCCCAAATACAAGGCTGTTCAGTATCTGCCCCTTCCCACTCCAGCTGCATTTTGTGGCCTCCACGTCCTCCAGCACTGAAAGACTTACATCCCTGAAGGGCCACACCTCCTCACGCCTCTGCACCTTTGCTCCTGCTGTTCTTTTTCCTGGGTCTGCTGTTCCCCCTGCTGACATGCCAGTCCATGCCCCGCCATTCGCTTCTCTGTAGCTGATTTGGGCCCCTCCAGAAAAAGGAGTGCCTGGGGGCTGAAAGGAGCTGCTCCAGGCATTTACCACTCATTCCTGTCTCCCCGTATCTCCTGGAGGCTGTCAGGAGGCAGCTTCTGTCACCACAGGATAGAATGAGGAATGAGGCTTTGTGCCTCAGCCCCTAGGGGGTTGAGTTGCAGCATGAACTGGGCTCCTCACCCATAGGGTGTCCTGTCTCCTGTCTCTTTGTCCTGCTGTTGCTGTCAGGGACACAAGGATGTGGTCCCTTGGCTGCTCTTTCTTTCTCTAAGATCATGAACTGGCTGAATCTAAAATGGGCTTGTTCCTTTACCTGTCCAGTCTCTCAGCCTTGCCTTGGACTTGACAACCAGGGCTGCTGCACAAGCCTGAGTCACCACCAGATGGTGGGCACCCAAGGGCAGGGGCTGCACATCCCTCAGTCCCTCAGAGGATCAGCTGAGCCCTGAGTGGGGCGTGGCTGAGCCTCTGGATGACTGCTGCCCAACTGTGGGGTTGTTCCAAGCTCTGCTCAGGTGTTACCTCACCTGCCACAAGAACAGTGACGCTGGCCAAGCGCTGCTTGAGGGAAGTTCTGCACTGATGTTTGATGTGCTCCACCTCCTGTGATATTCCGACCACCCACGAGCCAGTGCTAACACCCCCACACTTTACAGATGAGGAAACAGAGTTTCTGGGAGCTGAAGCAGTCTGCTCATCTCTCTCAGGTATTCAGGACTGAAAAAATGGTGGGCACCAGCCCTTCTCATCCAAGGTCAACCCAACGCCACCACGTCTTCCCTGATGCCAGACTAAGGAGGCTGTGCCGATTGGGTCCTGCAGGTGTTCAGGGCCACGTGGATGGTGGACACCCAGGCCTCTTGACCTGTGACAGCCCCCAAGGAGGCTGTGCCTATGAAGCCAGAAGAAGGTGCTGAGCACATGGATCCCCTGGGCCTCCAGAAATCTGAGGCATCTTTAAGGCTCTGTGGGGTGGGGGGACTAGGTTCCTCAATCTATATTGACTCAGTGGGTACAGGAGGCAAGCAGGAGGGGAGTCACAGACCCTCTGAGTCCAAGCACAGCAGGAGCAGGTGTTATGTCCCAGTTTCACAGATGAGAGTACTGAGGCTCTAATGCTGGAGCTGCCCAGGGTCACATGGTGAGTTGCTGGCTGTCCTGCCCCCCAGGCTCTTGCCATGGCTCCTCAGCCCTGCATGATGTCTCATTCATTCATTGATTCATTCACTCATTCAACAACTCTAGGTGAGAATGGCTGTGGGTACAAATAAATGGAGACGAGCTGCCCTGCAAGAGCTCACATGCTGCAGGGGACAGATCTGGAGACCACTGCTCACCCCCACCATTGTCATCAAGCTCCTGGGGTCAGCTCGCAGCCCAGGGAGCATCTGACGCAGCACGAGCATCTCCCCGTGTGGTGGATGCCGTCACTAGGCATCTCTCCAGGCTCATCCAGTCCCTTATGGACCCTCAAAGTTCCTGTTAGGGATGTCATTGACTTTTTCACAGAGGGTACGCTGACCGTGAGGGTCGTACTGGGGCTTCCTGCTTAGCTTAAAGCCAGGGCAGTCCATGGGAGTGATGACTCCAGGGCAGTGGGTGGGTCCATGCTGAGCAAGCCCCTCATGGAACAGAAGAGTGGTAGGTCCAGGGAGGGGTTTTGGCCTGCTCCCAACTTGCCTTTCTGTGTGACCTGAACAGATCCCTCCCTCCTAGGCCTCTTTCTCCTGGTGGCCAGGGATGGGGAGGGTATTGAGTCAGATAGGAGCAGGGGAATGTGGCTTCCTCCACAGCCACCTGAAGAACTAGAGCCCAGAATAGTATTTGGCAGAGAGGTCTGGGGGAAGAGAGGGGCAGTGATGGTAAGGGGGTGTCTGGCTCCAGCCTGTGTTTCAGGAGGACTCAGACACTTACCAGGAAACAGACAAACCAGAAATGGATGCCCCCAAATGATGCCCACTTCCCAACACAAAGGTCCAGGTTTTCAGATACCATGAAAATACAGGTTCCAGGAGTATCTACAGAACAGTCGAATGTCCACAATAGTGTCCATAGGTTTAGTGACACAAGACACAATGTGATGACAGTCACATCTCTTGGAGTGGGCTCTCCTTCACCCCCTCCCTCTGGACACATCAGCTTCTTCTTGGGGTCTCTGTGACCTCTTACCAGACTTTGAGTACCTCCTCTCCCCCTGGTTCATCCAAGGCCAGATCGTACATCAACCTCTTCCCTGTGGCTCCTGAGGGGAAAGTGTGGGAGGAACAGGGCCAGGCGGCCCAGGGCCCTGGCTGCACACACAGAGCATCCCAAACCAGCATCCACAGGGCCAGGAGGCTGGGTCCCCTCCAAAACACTGCTGTACCAAGTCCTCGAGAGGCACCTCCTGCAGAAGCCTTTGCAAGGACTCAAGGCCCAGTGTGGATGAGACCTCAGTGCAGACACTGCCCAAATCAAAGTCAACCATCTGACATCTCTTTTTCGAGCACATACTATGTGTGGGGACACAGCGGTGGGCAACACAGGCACAGCCTTGCTCAGAGCACTCACATTTGAGGAATATGAGAGTCAGCCCAATAGATAAGTGAATGGTGTCGTGTAAGAGACAGAATCCATGCAGGCAGCGTCCGGCAGGGGTCTCATGAGAAGCAATGTCTGAGCAGCTGGAAGTGACCAAGGGCCAGGAGGAGAACTGACTCGGGGCCAGGTCCCTGCAACAAGGATTGGTGGCTTAGGGCCTCAGTTTCCCTCTGTCCAGCTGGGTTGATAATGATGGAACATCACTCCCTGGAGGGAAGGATGGTCAGATGGAAAGTGGACATTTTGCTTGTCTCTGTGTTTGACTGTTGTTGCCTTTATTGTTGGGTTGCTCCAGCCCCAGCGGCCTAAGGCGGTGCAGGTGGCCTGGCAAAACTGAGTCCCTTATGCCTGAAATAACCAGAAATCCCAACCGGCACCAGCCCTGGCAGCAGGTGCCTCCTTCTCCCTAGGCTGGGGAGGAGGGAGGTGGCTCCAGTTCTGGAAGCTTCTACTAGCCCAGACGGAGAAGGGGTCCATGTCACAGCACCAAGGCCACCAAGCCCCTCGGCCCAGGTCTGAGCTGGGAAGGGTCTCAAGATCTTTTATTTTTCTTTCTCCATGTACTATGGGAGGCCGGCTCCTGCCAGCATCCTCACCATGGGTGCCTGAGAACATGAAATGATAACGTCACCAGTCGTAATCTTGAAACCGACCCTCTTCACTCTTACATGAACCAGTCTTCCCTCAAATTTCTGTTGAGCCCCGGCTCCCATCAAACAGGAATAAAATCAAGGAGGAGATGAGCTTTAGCCATTGTGAGGCTCTACACAAGGCCTGGGGTACCCCGGTCAGGAGTTAGGCTGTAGTAGATGAGGGCTTGGGCAAAACCATAGCTGGGGTGCTTGTGCAATCACTGTTTTTAAGAGATATGCAAATAGGCCAGGTGTGAAGATGATATAAAAGTGTAACAGTGGACCTTCTTTAATCTCTTATTCTCCATAAACCAAAAGGCTGGTCCTGATGCTAAACTTGGCCTTCTTCCCTGTTTCAACTGCACCTAACACCCAGAATACAGCACAGGACTGGGGAAGGGCTTGGTGGGGTGCCTTGGAAGAGAACTCCTCCTCTTGGGCGCATGCTCCTTCTGTGGGTGGAAAAGGGGTATCCCAGAGGGATGTTCTTTCTACCAGAGAAAGGCATGTTCGGGGAATGAGCTCCTCAGTGTGGTTGGAGCATGGAGGCCCTGGCTCAGAGAATAGGTGTCAGATCGGGAAGGGCCTGCGGGCTGGCTTTGACATAGGTGTAGATAGAAATCAAGGTGGGTGTTTGAGGAAGAGAATGAGCCTATCAGACTGCAGGTTAGAAAAATCACTCTGGCTACTGAGAGAATAAAGGCTGGCGGGAAAGTCAGGCCAGGGGTGGGAGGCCAGGGAGTAGTCTGTGCAGTAGGGGCCCACTGTAGCCCCAGGTGGGTATAAGCAGACAAGCGGAGGCGGTTGCATTAAATGATATTAAGTGCAAGACTTGTAGGGATCGATGAATGAAAGGTAGATGAGGAGGTGGCATTAGATTCCCGGCTTTGAGATCAGCAGATTAAAGGTAAAAACAGGCAATAGAAAGAGGGCTGAGACCACAGGAGATGCTGCTCTCTTTTCCAGGAGACACGGTAACGGACGTGAAGATTATGGCTGCTTTTGATTCCCTCTCTCACTTCTGGGGTTCCGGGAGCTAGAAGCCTAAGTGAGGCCCAGAAAGGAGAAACAAAGGTGCTTCCTGTTACCTATTGGGGGAGGAAGAGATAGCCTGGCTGAGGGTAGTAGCATAGTCAGTAGGGGCTGAGAGCCAACAAGACACTTCTGGGTTTGAGATTTAAGAGCCTTTCAAGTGTTTGCTGGCCACCGGCAGAGGGCACTCTAGACCTCAAAGGGTGATGACTGACAGGGACGGGGAGCAGATATGACTGCAGTGATGGATATCCACAAGGGTGAACGGGGCGTGGCGACAAACATTGGGGCATCTCCAGCACGCGCTCCCCCACCAGCATTCCGATGGCCTGTGCTGCGGGAGGGATGGCCCACCTCACGGAGCCCCAATTCCACACCCACGTGGCACCCTTCTGACTTGGTTTCCTGGGCTATCACATGAAGTTAGGGTTCCCCCCCGCAAGAAAATAATTTCTTTCCCCAGCCCTAGTAAATCAATGCATCAGCATTCTGGCAAATATACTCCTCTCATGTGACGTTGGCGACTGTCCACTCATCCCCGAGTACTGAGCAACCCTGAGCTGATTGAGGCCATTTGGTTTTCACCTTGGCCAGTGCCTATACCATCTGCCACCCTGAGAAGCCCTGGCAGCAACTGGCCAGGGCAGCAGCATGACATCCAGAACTGTCATTCCCCACACCGCAGGGTAGATATGACACTAAATCACCACACCTTTGCTAAGTCATTGGCCTGTTTCCCTACCTGCAACAGGGGTGGTCAGAAGTGACCATCTTCTGGAGCCTTTGCAGTTGTGACGGTGCTGTTACCCTACCATGGGAGGAGGGTAGGGGAGAAATTGCAAAGTTGAGGGGAGGACACGTCTAAGACAGTCAGGTGTTGGGGATGGAGGGTACAAGATCAGGGTCCCCACCTCTCTTCAAATGACTATAGATTCACTCTGAGAGGGTGAGATGGATCCATGATGTCTAATTTTTTGTTACATCTAGAATTTTTAAAAAGTAAAGCGCAATGTAATCTTCTGTTATGTTGTAAGAACTTTGGCAGTAAGAACAGAAAATTAAAGAAATACTTCAAAATATTAATAGCGTAATAATCATCTATGTCTTCAGTTGGCCACGCAGGTTTGTATTCCTTAGTTCTCTGAGCTCCACGAGGCTATGAGGTGGCATCATTTCTCCACGTTACAGCCAAGGATGCTGAAGCCAGAGGCTGTGACTTAAAGAATGGGCTCAGGACAGAGCCTGGCACGGATGAAGGCAGGGAGGATTGGGTGAGCCCAATGACAGACCTGTGGTCTACCCAGAAATGATACTCCACACATGGTTAATAACTCATAGGGAAGGAGGGGAGCAAATGAGCATGCCCTTCTTGGGTTGAATTAGTTAATATAAATTAAAATATTAAGGTGAACATAAATTATGCCTTAATTTAAACAATAATGCTAATGACAGAACTTACACAACAAGGAAAAGAATTACAGAAAGAATCAGAAAACAAAATCCAACAATTTGGTGTTTATAAGTTACAGATATATGGCAAAATATATACACAAATTTCAAATAAAATGCTGAGCTAAATAAACTCTCATGCAAATGCAAAGGGCTTCAATTATATTTTTTAAAGAGAAGTTTAAGCTATGAGCATTAAAAGAGGCAAAGAGGGCACTAAAAGGCACGGTTTTCAATATATCACTATTAAATATATATATATACCCCAAATATCATGGTATTTACTTATTGACAATTTATACCCTGCCTATTTCTCAAAAAGGAGTTGAGATAATTGCACAACTAACATAGCAACAACATACATAAAAGAGGAACAGTAATTAAAGATAAACAGAAATATATAAAGAAAACACAAAATCAGACTACAATTAGATCAGGTAAATGAGTGTTCTTAACAATTTTGGGGTCACTGAGCTCTTCCAAAATGTGTGGACTGCTACAGGCATCCCTTCCCATAACAATTCCTTCATGCACATAACCAAATAGCTTTGTCCAGTCCCTAGGGGTCCACAACCTTTAAAAAACCCTGCATGCTCGCAGACTCCTAGGCAGTATATGGACCCCAGGTTCAGAACTCTGAAGTAAACAAAGGTAAGAGAAAGTATGGATTTGAATAAAATAATTTAAAACCTGGTTAACAGACTTGATGAAGTAAAAACATATTTCTTGAGAGTACACAAACGCTTTATAAAAATATTCAGGCCCAAAGAAGTTCTATGGATACTTAGAAATGTTGACACCACAATACAATAAGAAATGACAGCAATGACTTAAACATTCGTCACTTGGAAATATATAAAAAATAATAACACTTGGGCTAAAAGGAAATTCCTAATAACAAAAAAAACTTATGGAGTGCAGAAAACTTCTAAGAAGAAACTGTAGACCAAAGTACCCACATTTACTAGAAATATTCAAAATGTAATTAATAATTAATCTTAGAAATGTAAAGTATTAAGGGGAAAAAAGAAGAAAGAAAAGAGTGGAATACATATGCTTTGATGCAACAATTCGATTACTAAACAAAATTGAGCTGGAGATTTAAAACACTCGACGGCATCTGCCATGAAGAAAAAAAGGTAAGACAACAAAAACAAAAGCAAACGACTAAATTCAAGGACGATTAAACTATTACCAGGGTGATCTCTTATAAGATTACACTGAGAACCTAAATAAAATGAAAGGAATCTCAATACATAATAACAAAACAGTGAAAGAAATAGAACAGAAAGAATTAGGTTCTGTTCACACTTCCAAAAAAGAGAAGTACCTGGTCTTACCACGCTTATGTGAGACTCTGTCAACCCTTCAGAAAGGGATCTTAATCTCATGTCACATAAATTGTGAAGGGGAAGAAAAGAGACGGGGTTGAGGGGAAGAGAAAGTGCATATTCCAAAATGTGAGAACAGTGTAATATCAGTTGAGAGAAGATGAAAGTGAGCAGAGAGGACATCTGGGTAGGGGCTGGAATGAACTACATGTGGCTATAAAGTGGGTAAACTAGATCAGCTAAAGTGGGGTTTATGTGCAGAAAAGCCCCCAGGGGTTGGTTTTAAGGAGAGTGGTGACATGTGCAAAGTGATGCTTAAAAAAAAAATCAATTTGGCTGGGGTGTGCAGAAGTCCACGGAGGGAGACATTAAAGACAGGAAACACGACTGCGCAACAGGGACAGGCATGGCCAGAGCTAAGATGGAATGGTGGGGGGGCTGCCAAGGAGGTAGATCTTGGAGGGAACTTGCTGTTCCACCCATGCCAAGCAGGAGTCTCAGCATTCTCTCCCCACTCCTGGTAAATGCCTGAAGACACTAGGTGTAGGCCACCTGCCAACAATGCGCGGGTGCCACGTGACCAGGACGTGGTGGTGCAACAGGTTCTGGTTAAATGTTTCACATACTCACACAGCAAAGAGAGGAACTGGACAGAGGTGATCTCTCCAGTCCATCAGACCTGTCGTTTTAAAATCTCTGGCTATCAAGCCCCACTTGCTCAGTAACAATTATGGCTCTCCTGTTTTTATTCATCAAAACTACATATAACTGCCAAGCTGAGCTTCCGATTAAGTGAAATAACCAGCATTACCACCATGGATTCATGGGATTCCAGCCATAAACTTTTGGAAAACTTCAAAATAGCTCAGACTGCCTCCTCCCACACTAGCTCTGAGGGATCCAGGTGAAAGCCAGTACTAAAGATCCTCATTGCGAGGACCTGGGACAAACACTTATCAACCAACCAGAGACGCCACTGCCAGAGTCCATTCCTGGGGGATTGAAACAGAACGGCCGCCTTCAAGCTCTACTCAGTCAGGGCTGGCAGCCTGATATTTGGGAGATGCTGGAACTGTATGGGTACCTAGCACAGGGCTCACAGCCTGGCTACGTGCTGGGACAATTATAACCACCCGGAGAGCTTTAAAACCACGCCACTGTGCCCACCTGTGGGGATGCTTATTGAATTGGTCCACGTGGGATGTGGGCTTGTTACTTTTTAAATAATCCTGGGGTGAATATCAGTTGGCAAGGTGGTGGTGGGAGAGACAGAATTACAGGAACATGGACCACACTGCCGCCACAGGGATGCTCAGGGTGGCCTCCGGAAAACATCACAGGGAACCCGCAGCCCCGGATGCAAGCCTGAGGAAATGAGAGAAAGCCTGGTATAATAAGGGCCTGCTCTAAGCACTGCCATTTTGGGAAGGCCTCTCTGGTCTGCGGGGACAGTGTCCCGGGGTGAGGCATGGATCATTCTTGGTGTCCGTCCTCAAATGTCAGTTGCCAAAACACTTTCATGTGTGGTCTCATTGTGAATGGGAGCCTTGCACCAACCTTTAGAGGTATGTGGCCAGGTCCCACTATTCCCATTTCATGGATGGGAAAACGGAGCCTTAGGGCTTCCTCCGAGTCACACAGGTAGGAGGGTCAGAACTGAGACTTGAACCTGGACCTCTGAGCAAATCACCCTGCTTCCAACACCCCCTGGCACTGGAGGGTGGAGATGAGGCCGCATATCCCCGAGACCAGAAACAGGCCCTGCTGACGTCCAAGGAATGCCATGGTCTCAGGGGCCTGGTTCTTGCGGAGGGGATACTCATAGAAGGCACTAATGCCTTGGATGCGGGCTGAGTCAGTCAGGCATCAAATGTCCTCTGGCCTGCAGGACCCAACCTCTACCCTCCTGTGAAAGAGACCACCCTCACTCTAATGCAGAACAGGATTAAGAGACCAAGCCAGGGACTTGCATCCTCACTCCCAACCCCAGAACTAATTCTCTCAGCCCTTCCTTTTGCTCTGTGACCTGTTTTGGTTGTCCCCACCAGAACCCAAGCCAAGTAGATTCCATTTTTGTGGCTGAGGTATCTACATTTTTGGATTTGTTTTTCTTTAGCTGACTTGGGCTGTGAGCATGGGTATTTCTTCTAAAATCACACTTCAGCGTGATGTTAAAGAGTTCATTTGCCATCTTCATGGGTTTAACTCAACTCTCTCCCTCTTATGTGTCTTCCTCTTCTGGATTCTGTAATAGAAGACAAAACTAAACCTCATAGGCTTGAAAGTCAAATGTGAGAATGAGAAAACTGAAGGCCAGCTCTTTTCAGGCGCACCTCCATTCTGGTGGCCTTCCTATCACCCCACCCTCACTCTCAGTAAACCTGCTGAGCTCAGGGCACCTGGCTGGGGCCACGAGGGGGCCTTGCTGCTGGTGTGAGTGCTCAGGAGCACCTAAGTTCAGCCCTGTTATCAGAGAGGTGGGCTGGGGCTTGTAGACAAAGTGATCAGGTGCGGGCTCCATCTGGGACAGGCTTGCAAGCTTTGACGTGAGCTCCTCCTTCTAGAGCTTCTCCCCAGCATGGATTTTCTGATGCCGAATGAGGTGTGAGCTTCCCCTGAAAGACTTGCCACATTTGTTACACTCATAAGGTTTCTCTCTGGTGTGGGTTTTATAATGCTCAATAAGAGCCGACCTGTGCCGGAACGCTTTGCCACACTCGTTGCATGCATAGGGTTTCTTCCCGGTGTGAATTCTCTGATGCTGAATCAGAGCAGAGCTGTGGCAGAAGGCCTTCCCACACTGGCCACACTCGTAGGGCTTCTCCCCGGTATGGATCCGCTGGTGCTCGATGAGGGAGGAGCTCTGGCTGAAGGCCTTCCCACACTTGTGGCATTTGTAAGGTTTCTCACCGGTGTGGGTCTTCCGATGTTCAATGAGGTTAGAGCTCTGGCTGAAGGCCTTTCCACACTCTTCACATTTGTACGGTTTCTTTCCGGTGTGAATCCTCTGGTGCCGAATGAGGTGGGACCTGTGACAAAAGGCTTTCCCACAGAGATCACATTCATGAGGTTTCTTTAGGGTGTGAATTTTTCGATGCTGGCTCAGGCCTGAACTCTGGTTGAAGGATTTCCCACACTCTTTACACTGATAAGGTTTTTCTCCGGTATGAATTCTCTCATGTTTTCTGAGACTTGAGCTCCGACTGAAATCTTTCCGACTGAAATCTTTCCCGCATTCCGTACACTCATAAGGTCTCTTCCCAGTGTGGGTTTTCTGATGTTGTGTGAGAGCCGAGCTCTGACGAAAAGCTTTTCCGCATTCTGGGCATTCGTAGGGCTTCTCCCCCGTATGGATTATCTGATGTCTGAGAAGGTGTGAGCTCTGGCTGAAAGCCTTCCCACACTCACAACACTCGTAGGGCTTCTCCCCAGTGTGAATCACCAGGTGTCTGAGGAGGTGTGAGCTCTGACTGAAGGCCTTCCCACACTCCCGACACGCATAGGGTTTTGCTGGTTGTGCAGTTCTGTGAGGTTCATTAGGTCCTGTGTCCCCCCTGCCCAGTATGTCACAATTATGATCACTGGGTTCTTCTCCACCATGGATTAACGGACACATACTAAGGTCTGATTTCGGGAAGAAGGTTGGACCGAATATTTCATCATCCTGAGGTCTGTTTACTGGGGGGATACTCTGATGCTGAACAGGGCTCGAGCACAGACTGAAATTCCTCTCATAGTCATCATGTTCCTCGTTTTGCTCCCCAAGAGGGATCTCCTTGTAGATAACGGCCATTTGCTCTAAACCTCTTTCCTGAAGGAAAGAGTCCCCCAGGTCCTCCTCTGGGAAAAGTTCTTGCTGCATCTCTAATCCATCTTCAAACACAAAGGTCTCACCAAGCTTGGATGCTGGGGGAACCTCCATTGTGGACCTATTATTACCCCCAATGACTGTATTTCTTGAAAGATATTTTTCTTTGAAATACACTTACTGTTCTCACAATCTGAAAAGAAAACAAGGGATATTGTCAAGCCAACAAGTATGTGCCTCTTTTTTATGCCAGAATCTATGGTAGATATAACAAAATAAGTATGAGACACAATCTTGCTCTTAAGATGAACCCCACTAGTTAGAGAAAAGTTCGATTTATCAAAAACAGCTGCAAAAAAAGAAAGAATCAAAAACCACACCATGGTGTCTAGATTCTAAAGGCTGAAGATGTTGCAAAAGGTAGGCCAGAACAGGAAGTGGAGCCACATAGAAAATGGGCATTACTCCACCTACTGTAGGATGTTGGGGAGGGGGTTTTGTTGGCAAAGAGAGAGAGCACACTTTCCTCCTACAGCTGTACCCCCTCCAGCCAGCAGGGTGCCCCAGTCAGAACCCTGAGAATCAGTCTAGACCTTCTTCCTCTCTCACCTGCAGGTCCTGTCCTGTCCATTTTCCGAGGCTTAATTGAAGGGGTTTCTACCTCTCTGTCCTTGCTGCCATTCTGCAGCTTAAGCCTCAGTGCGACTCCTCTAGGTTATTTCAATACTAACCTCCCAACTGGCCACCTGCCTCCAGCTTTTATTCCTCCCTCTAGTCCATTCTCTACATTGACACCAGAGTCAAATACCAAAAACACATTTCTCTTCTTAGGATCTTGTGACAGCCCAACTCTTTCACAAGGCCCTTCACATACAGCCCTTCCAGTACTGCCTGTCCAGCTCCATCTCCCACCTCTCCTTCCACACACTCCTAACTTTCCAGCTTAAGAACATTTGAGCTGCTGTTTTCCTCACCTACCAGGTCCCTCCACCTTCTCAGACTGCATATCCTTCTAGACTCAGTCCAAATGTCCCCTCCTCTCTCCACCCTCAGACTAAGGATCTCAGGCACACCCCCTTAGTGACCCACGGAGCATGGTGCACATGTCGATCACAGAACTCATCACCCTGGATGACAGGACTGTCCCCACCACTGCCTGCAAGCTCCCTAAGGGCAAGTACTATATGCCTTCATTTTGGAACCCCCAGCCTCCAGCACAACAGAATCATCTCGACACACACCATTTGTTGAATTAATACATGATTGAATGGAGGAAAATCCATTTGATTTTGTGCTAGACCTGATCGTCGCACCTGAACTTGTCACTCAAAGAATTTATTCTCTGGGAGATATAAATAAATAAAATAGACAAAAGCATGGCTACACCGGTTGAAGTGTTTGTTTTTTTTGTTTGTTTTATTTTTTTGTAGGAACAAGGAAGGAAGCTAGAACACCCCACTCAGCCCCCCATCCCACTGTGGTGGTCCCTAAGGACCCCATTCAGAAATTGGGTGTAAGCTAAAAGGAAACTCCTCAAGTACCATAATAACAAGAGAGTGTATTTATTGAGCATCTACTCTGTGCTAGGCACTACTAAAGGTTTTATAAGCATATCTCATTTAATCCTCAGAACTCTATACAAAGTTACTATTATCCCTACCCTGAAGCTTAGAGAGTAACTGGCTCAAAAACATATTAAACTAACCAGAATAGTCATGATGGAGCTCATTTCTATTTGGGAATCTTTTTAAATAAATTTTCAGCCAGTAGAAAGACCAGGTGTGAAAAAAGGCATGTATTCTCAAAACTTCTTTGCTCACTTCAATTCCTCTTACCTTCCTCTTCAGAGTCCATAATCTCCAATCCTCCCAATTCTCTTGCTGAACCTTATCACCATCCCCTCATTTTCACCCCGTCTTCCTCTTCTAGTTCCACTCCCTCCCTGTCTAGCTTAGACCCTCTCTATCTACAGTCAGTTTAACTATAGATGTCACTTCAACTAACTCTCTGACTAGCATCACGTTCCTTACCTTCTGCCCTGTTGCGACTAGCTGCTAATTCTTTCTCTGCCAATTCCTCCCCAAATGTTAAATGTTGCCAAGGAAAATCATATGACTGTGTATGGCACTGAGACAGATTTCAAGTTTCCACTTTCAGCTGGGACTTCAACACTCAGCTCTAGCATCTAATGACCTCCTTACTGCCAATCCTTCTCTTCTCAGTCCTCACTTCCCCACCCTTTCTGGCACTGCTCACCATTACCTCCTTCTCAAACCCTTCATTTCAGAGGTTGCAAATTGGCAGCCTGGGGATCCTGCCACAGACATGTTTTTGTCTGGCTCTCGAGTTGGGCTTTTCCTTTTTGTTTGACTAAGCTTCCAATATGGAAAACTCAGGGGGTTTCTGGCTTTTCTCTTAAGATGTGACAGTATGGCTCACCCCTTTACTAAACCCACCTTGCCTACCTGGATGCCTCAAGGTTTTGAGCTTGCTGGACAAATCACCCTACTGCCATGCCCCACTTTATTCCCTTGGTTTCTGAAAGTTACTCCCCCCGCCCCCGCAATTTTTATGCCCTTGGATCCCTCCTTCTTGGTATCTGTGGACTACAACTCTTCCTCTATTCACCTGTTAAATCATGGTGTTTCCAAGTTTCCCTCATTAGGGGTTTTCCATTCTCCCTATGTACCACCTACACGTTGAAGTCTCCACTGTTTTTACAAAGTTGGCAATCCTTCATCTGTCCCCAACAATGTTTTAAACATTTTTGAATCGAAAAACCAAAGGTCTGGAACCCTATGCTTCCAACCGCTCTCGGGCCTTCCCTGGCTTCTCCTGCATCCGTCACTCCATCCTGCAGGGAGCCTATTGAGCCTGGGCTTCCAGCGGACCCTCAGTCCAGTCAGGGTTTGCTGCCCGGAGGCCCGCGAGCGGCCGCAGACCCGCACATGCCGCCCGGACGGCGACGCCAGTGACCCAACATGCTTCCCATCGATGGAGATGTCCACACCCGCGGCCAATAGAGGGACAGGTGGGCACATTGACTGACGCGAAGCCACTCACCTGGGCTGGGGCGGGGC